AATACWATGGACATCGACGACTGGAAGCTTTTGACTCAGGGAGGCTGGACGGCGCACGATCGCAAATTTTCGACAGCCCGAGGGTTTGAAAACAAGTGTCCCATGCTGATAACAAGCCAAGAGGAGCTAAGATTTCCTAAAGAGGACCAGGCCGCCATGAATGCGCGTCTTAACGTGTACAAATTCAAAAGTTTGCCCAAGAAAGATCCCAAAGCATTTGAATGGCTAAAGACTCACCCAGTGGAATGCATTGTTTGGGCGATGGACAAGGCATCAGGCACCAATGAGCTATCATCTCGTGAGCACGAACCAGGTGAGAGTAACAATAGATCTGAACAGGGTGTAGGGCTGCGAATCGTGAAAGAAACAAATAATGACAACTCATAGTTTSTACTCTTTATTTCAAGAAGGCAGTGTTGCGTTGACCCTCGAAGAGCAAGAAGAGCTGTGTTCTTTCCAACTGGAGCAAAACTCAGATGAAGAGCCTAGCTCACTTCCACTACAAGAACATACTGCAACCAGTCCCCATGATGAAAGCCAGATGAGCACCGCAGAGAGACGAGAGCAGGAAGTCACCAGAGAAAAAGCCCTATACGATCCCGGAAGTTTTCGCGGACGATTGCTCGAAAAACTAGCAGACCGTTGTCACCAGGAAGTGAACAAGCAGAACGTAGCCAAGAAAAGAATGTTGGATTCTCGACGTTCTGAACTTGTGCAGCGGGGGGTAATGAGCGAGTCTGAAGCCCTGGAGAACATTCAAGACCCATATCACGCGCTTCCAGAGAACTTACAAAGGAGATTCATGGATGTAGTTCAACGAGAAATGACATCAAAGAGACAGAAGGCTCACGAAGAGAAGGTTGCRCACACAGMGAAGACGTTCCAAAACCCATGGGTACTACAAAAAGAGAAAGAGATGAGTGACCTTGTGACAAGAGCTGACAAAATCCGCGATGAGGAGATGAAGTSCACGTTGGAAAGCCTATTGAAAATAACAGAAAACAAGCTTAAAATGTTTCACGAAAAAAAWGGTACCAGTCACACGATCGCCGTTGAGGAAAGAAAGAAGRTTTGTCTTGAAAKGGGACTTCTGTCGAGGGATCAGCTTTCAGAGATAGAGAACGTGTACCACCGCCTACCTTGCTATTCCCCTCCGGTGCTAAGTCCTCCCAGAACGCCATGCTGGACTCGACCTCCACAAGAGAGAGTGGACCATTTATCCAGTCCTTTGCTGTTTGACAATGTAGAAGAAACTCCAGATTCAACACCAGTGCGTCCACCAAAGACTCCATCCTGGGGCCCAGCAAGTGACAGCGATTGCAGCGACGACATCTTCATTACTCCAAGACCAAATCGTATTATTCCTGATACTATCATGTCCGACAAAAGTTGTAAGARGAAGAGAGACGACACACCATGTTCTGAGAGAGGTCAGAGCAGAATACAACAGTACTTCAGCAAGAAAAGTCGCAAGTAGTAATTTAGTTCTTGTATTATTACAAAACGTACTGTCTCTTGTAATTGATTGATGCATTATAAGATACACTTTCCAATTGTTAAAAATCTAATACATCTGTAAGATTTGCCAATTGTTACAAAATATATCGTCTATTGTAATTTGATTGACACATTATTTGATAAAGTATTAG